CGTTTGCTTCATCGGCACTCCCACCAAAAGAATATGATATAGCAAAGAGGCCTGACCTTGCTTGAAATTCTCTTATGCCCTGTGACTTAAGGGTACTCGTGGCAGTGTAGCCGAGTGTTTAGCGTGTCAAGCTACCGTCCTGCACTGTCGCAGTTCGACTCCCGGTGAGGGTGTTGATAAGACCGTTGCGAGGTCGAAACTGCAGTCCACCCTGGATGATAACAACTTTTGGGAAAGCAAGGCTATGTGAAATTCGAAGGAAACGTCAGCTCAACTCATATCATTGTTCGGAAATTCTACTAGTAGTCCTCATCACCTTATACGAAATAGGGTGAATACATCTCATTACAATGATTTACTGGTAGTCTCGAAACCCTACTCTAATACGAATGATGATACATACAATGGACTCCGGACTAGGTGCGTTCCTCTAAGTTTTCCTATCAAAAGTTATTTTTCGATGGTTAAAGTAAAATTTCGCCTGTTCTTAATGGAAACGCCACCATTTGCTCGTAAACTGGATAAAATATTTGAAAATTCTGTAATTCAAATTTCATTTCTTAACAATAGAGTAATTTTCAGCTGCGTTACTGTCTTCTTATTTCCGATTATAAGCTCATTGTTTAAATCAGAAAAGTGAATGCGTATAGGAATTTTCACACGAATTTATAGCGGCTTAAGCGCACCGTACGCGCATGAAGTTGGTTTCTCCTTTGCACTTAAAAATCATCTGAGCTGAAGCAGTCATTTCAAATTCGGTTTAACATCAGCCCTTTAATGCCTAGAAAAATATTTAATGAGTTTTACGACGTCAAAATTTGCCCGAACAGAAATCTCCTAGACTGAGAATCCGTACTATTATCTTCAGCGCATGATCTTTTTTCTTGTAATTTCCTATTTTGTCATCTCTCCTCCATTTTCAACTTCATTTTTACATTTATTTCTCCCTTTACATGCTTAGCCCTCACTGACTCATTCATCCTTTGACTCCGGCATAACAACTTCTTTGTTGTCGTCCTCTTCTTCCTTCCGACTGGCTGTGGCGCCTGGTTTACCCGGTAACGCTTGGGGGGCGGATGCCAGTGTGCTGTTTTTACCAGCCGGCCAGCGCCTCATCGTCGGCTTGGCCTCACCCAACTTTGCTACTATGCGCACTGTCCATAGACATTATGCAGAGGTAAGAAAGCCAAAATAACCCTTGTTCAATTAATTTATCCATGTATATACGAGGAGATTTTTTATTAAATAGTTCCAATTTGGTTGTTATAACGGTTGATGAAAGCTCTAGCTCTACTTGGAATTATTAAGTGGCATATTATCGTTTCTAAATAAAGCTCTGTTTTATGATTTGGGAATTAAGTTAGTAGGATTTATGATTTCTTTCTCATATGTTCTTAGTTAGGCCTTACTTAAATAATTAAATTAGCCTATAACCAGCCATATGCATTATAAAAATCCAGGTTTGGACAGTTCTTTAGTCACAGTGACTGATACAGTATGTACAGTATAATGGTAAAATAATCCGCAAAGTTTTCATTTCGACTCTAGCATTTCAATTGCTTTTTTTCAAGTCATTAATGCTAATATGAAGTTAAAAATTATTTTTTTACATGCTTTCTGTTGTATATTGCATCCCAAAATGTCTTTCTTATTTCTATTGATTTGAACTTTCAACATCATCAAGGCATAAGCGTCACCTCTGTCAGGACGTAAAAGTGGATCCTCTGCATCTCGTGATGGCGCGATACATGTCTCACTACTATTGCCTTAGTCTCTGGCTTTCTGGGTATCTATGACTCAAAAAATATTACCGTTGTTGGGGCACTTTTATTTCGTATGAAAGTGCACGAAGAAGAAATTCATAGGTCGAGAGGACGAATGGTTTCGTAACTTGATTTACATGCCTACAAGCACATATCTCATTATCTCAACCATACTTGCTTATGGACTTACGAAGTCTCGGTCAGGGCTTTCTCTTTGGTCATTAGACCTTGATGATCAGAGCCTGACATTAATCTTTTGATAACTATGATTTAGGACCGGTATTGCGTATAGACGCTAACACACACGCATATATTCGAGCAAGAGTAGTAGGACCAGTATGAAAGATAATGAGCTAAACG